GGAAACGTGAGGGGAAAAGGGCGGGAAATGTGAGGGGGAAATAGAGGGAAGTGTGAGGGGAAAATGGCGGGAAATGTGAGGGGAAAAGGGGCGGGAAATGCGAGGGGAAAAAGGAGGGGAAATGTGAGGGGAAAATGGCGGGAAATGTGAGGGAAAAGGGGCGGGAAATGTGAGGGGAAAAGGGAGAGAAATGTGAGGGGAAAAGGGCAGGAAATGTGAGGGGAAAATGGCGGGAAATGTGAGGGGAAAAGGGCAGGAAATGTGAGGGGAAAAGGGAGGGAAATGCGAGGGGGAAAGGAGAAAAATGTGAGGAAGAAAACGGAGAGAAATATGAAAAGAAGAAACACCCCCCCAAATCTGGGAAGGGAACCCACCGGTGGCAGGGACTGCACGATGTCGCTGTGGTAGATGAAGCCCGTGTGGGGCAGCACCGACGTGGACGAGAAGCCCGAGAGGGTCCGACGCTGGGCCCCCAGCAGCAGGATGTTACAGGCCGGCAGCTTGGAGAGGGGGGTGAGACCCCCTGCGACCCCTGCAATGAGGGGGGGACCCCCAGAATACAGAGGGGTTGGGGGGGACCCCAAAATCCAGGGGGGCACCGCAAAATCCAGGGGGATCCCAAAAATACACAGGGTGAGGGAAGTGGGACTTTGGAGAGACGGAAAAGGGGGAAGAAAAGGGAAGATCTCAAAAGATGGGGGGGCTTGGAAAGGGGGGGGGGAGACCCCCCAAGACACCTGGAATGAGTGGGGGACCCCCAAAATACAGAGGGGCCGTGGGGGACCCCGAAATCCAGGGGGATCCCAAAAATACACAGGGTGAGGGAAGCGGGACTTTGGAGAGAAAGAAAAGGGGGAAAGATCCCAAAATATGGGGGGGAGAGACCCCCTGAGACCCCTGGAATGAGGGGGGGACCCCCAAAATACAGGGGGTCGGGGGGGACCCAAAAATCCAGAGAGGAAAGGACAGAGACACCTCAAAAAACCCAAAAAGATTGGGGGTAGCAGGAGTTCGAGGAGAGGAAAAGGAGAGGGTTTTGGGATAATTCTGGGGGGTTTTAGGGTTCTTAAGGGGCAGGTTTTGGGAGGTGGTTTTTGGGGGTCCCAGGGCGGGTTTTGGGGGTCTCACCCATGATTGTGGAGGCCCTGAGGATGAGGGAGAGGTTGGGGGTGATGAAGGACTCGGTGGGTGGGTTTTGGGGTCCCTGAGGGGCAGATTTTGGGGTCCCTGAGGGGCAGGTTTTGGGGGTTGTTTTTGGGGGTCCCAGGGAGGGTTTTGGGGGGTGGATTTTGGGGGTCCCAGGGCGGGTTCTGGAGGATCTCACCCATGATCGTGGTGGCTGCGGAGGCCCCGAGGATGAGGGAGAAGTTGAGGGCGATGAAGGTCTTGGGGGGGTTTGGGGTCCCTGATGGTTGGTTTTGGGGTGGGTTTTGGGGTCCCTGAGGGGCAGGTTTTGGGGGGTGGATTTTGAGGGTCCCAGGGCAGGTTCTGGGGGGTCTCACCCATGATCTTGGCGGCCGTGGAGGCCCCGAGGATGAGGGAGAGGTTGGGGGCGATGAAGGACATCCGGGACTCCACGTACTCGTAGATGCGGAGCTTGGCCCCGCTCAGGGCCAGGGCCATATCACAGGCGTCCTCGATCCGGCTCAGCTCCTCCTCCGACAGCTGCTGCCTGGGATCGGGGAAAAAAGAGCAGTAAGATTTAGGGGAG